AGCACGTGGGGTTACAGTCCAGAGCGTTGCACACTCTAAGTGAGGCACAGGGGCATTTGAAGGTTTCCCACGTTTGAAGGTCACTGAGAAGGCAATGGCACCTAGGGCATTGGGTGTATGCGGGTGCGTGTGTTTATCTGTGTGTATCCGTGTGTGTGTCTGTGTGTGTATCTGTGCCTGTGTTTGTATCCATGTGTGTCTGTGTGTGTATCTGTGTTTGTATCTGTGTGTGTGTGTGTGTGTGTTTGTGTGGGGGGTGGTACTCAGGAAGACATATGGTCAGGGAAGTATTTGGGGGCTGGGAGTTCAGGAGTTTAAGAAATTAGATTGAATGAGTTACTACCTAGTTCCTGAATTAGTCATTTTGCTTCCTTTCTTAATGGATTTCATTATAGACATTCAAGTTTCCCTAAGCATTGCCATTTTTTCTTGTTATAATTAGTTTGTTTATTGTTTGTTTGTTTATATTACGTTCTTCTGTGTTCAGTTACAAAAAGGTTATAAGATGGATAGGAACAGCAAGTCAATGATTATTTAACAAGTAATAAACTGACTGCAGTCAAATGAGCTTGTCATTGGAAGCCTTATTCTGCTATCTGAAGCGAACATGGCAGAGCTCGTTTATTTAATTAGAAGCTGTTTTTACTGGAATCCTTCCAAGAGGACAGTGGGTGTATTCTGTGGTGTTTCAGGGCTCCTTAGATTCCAGAGATCTCACAGATAGAAATTAAATAAAAGGGAACAGTTTAAAATCAAACCCTGTGAACGGTTACTTTCTCCAGTAGTGTCTATTGACTTCTTTCTTCCGTGTCAGCTGCTTGGGGATGGAGACCTTTCTCCTCAGAACTGGGCAGATATAAATTACATAAAAATGTACCAAGTTCTTTTGGTGTTTTTCCCAGATTTAGAAGACACACATCTTGCCATTTCTTGATTAATTACTACATGGAAGTTGCTGAGAGGCAAGCTTGGCTCAACATAACGAAGGACTCGCATATGATTGTGGGACACTGCCAGGCTGGGTGACGAAGATTTGGGTCCCAGTCTCAAGTGCAGCCATAATTCTTTGTGGGACCTTCAGCAAGTTGTTTCCCTTCTCTGGGCTTTAATCTCCAGGTGTGGAATGAGGAAGGGATCATTATGTTTCCTTTTAGCTGCCCCACTCTGAAATCATGGGACGCACTGGCAAGAGGGCTGTCCAAAGAGGAGTACCCAGGTAAGCCAAAGCAGCAAGGGAAGGCTGGTTGAGTGGGGAGACCCAGTGGAGCCTTAAAGGAAGGACAAGTACAAATGAAAGGAGAGAACTTTATAAATTTATTCTAAACAGATAATCAAAGACACATACAAAGACTTGATGAAAGACATAATGCTAGGAGGATCTGGGATATTATTATTTTGAGAGTATTAAAGAGTTCATGAGTGCTTGGCGTAGACCTTCTTGTTTCTAGGAACAGCCGAGTAGGTTATTTAACAAATCCTCCCACTGAAAGCTACTAAAAATATAGATTAAAAAAATCTTAAAAGCACCAAAGAGATGACAAGAAAATAAGGAATTACTGGATTAAAAATAAAGGGGAAATGAAAACCTAGTGAGATAAGCAAGCAGAGAAACTGCTTTTGATCTAAACACACTTGCTGATCCCTCAAAATTAAAGCTTTGTTCTGGCAGTCTAAGAGGTGAGAGGGACAAAAATCAAAGCTCAGGCCACATACAGTAAGGCATCTCCTAGGAGACCCTTCCCACCACAAGCTGGGACCCAAAGGCTTCACTGCCAGGATGAGACTGAACAAGTGACATAGCTCCCATAGAATTACAGCCTGGCTCCAATCCTCTGGGTCCCTCGTTAGTCTCTTTCTACTCAAAATGTGATCCATGGGGTCACAACATCAGCAGTACCAGGGAGCTTATTAGAAATGCAAATTCTTGGGCCTCATCCAAGACCAACTGTATCAGAATCTATACTTTAACAAGATCCTTGGTAGAAGCCAACCCAAATCCTCTCAGAGGAAATGTACTTTCGTCATAGACCTCAAATTATTCCTGAAAATAGTTTTTCTAACACAGCATCCAGTAAATAGTCAAAGATAATATGTCACAAAAGAAAATTAGGCTGAATAAGAGAGAACCAGCAGAAACAACAGGTAATAGAAACAGAACTACAGAGACTTCACATGGTGGAATTATCAGATGCAGTCTACAAAACAATAATTTATATTCACAACAGCTACATGTAAAAGGGATCATAAAATTTTTTTAAAAAACTTGAAGATGTCTTCAGTGAATAGGAAACTATAAAAAGTTTGTAGCATATTTGAAAAAGAACTATAGCACTTCTAGTGTTTGGCATGTTTCCTGGAGCTCATCCATTTGTGGATGACTGGCATAGGGTAGTATAGATGACCAGATATTGAAGGTGTGTGGGCAAGGCTAGACAACTGGTTATCAAGATCATTGAAAAGGGGAGGCCATTACTGTCTAAGGATTAGCCTGGTCATCCTCATTTCCTTCTAGTATAGATGCCATAGGATATTTTCCTAAGGATGGGACACCCTCTAACTGGCTAGGGCCCATGGAATCCTAGCTTGATTTCTCCTCGTGTAGGCTTGAGAATCCTGTGGGAGGTTGCTAGATCATTCATTGGAGTAAATAACATCACAACTGCATAATATTTGCAGACAGTTAAGGATCATCCACAGAAACCCCAGATGAAACAGAGGGAGCCTCTCTGGGAGACACATGGATCAGGTGCCATGGATCCAGGAGAAGTTTATGAACTATGATCCAGACACTATTTGCACATTTCTGCATGAGTCTGCACAAGACCACTCCAGTTTCAAACATTCTCAGAACTTCATAATCTTCAGATTGTAAAGAGAAAACACTACGGTCCTTCTTTGGACGCTCCAGCCTTCTTGGTTCTGTTTATCCCTTCCCCTTGTTGTACTCCATCAAACTCTCCAAATGGGAGGTTTGTGTCCATATTTTCTGTCTGCTCTCACCCTTCAGAACCCCTGCACCCTAATTTCTGTGCATGTCATGAGCATATTCAAGTTCCACTTTTCCTTTGGTTCATCCTCCCCAAATTCTCTGATCATCTTCTTAGGGCTCTCTCTTTGGAAATCATAGTTATCATTCACCTTAACCATTTTTCGTTATACTACTTAATCCTCACACTACTTGTGCAGAATAAGCATTTTTGTTATTCCTATTTTATAACAATGTGCATTCATTATAGGAAAATTAGAAAAGACCTCTAAACAAAAGAAGCAAATTGAAATACTCTTGAATTTTACTACACAGAGATAACTTTACCACTGTTAATATTTAGTATATTTCCTCAAACTTTTTTATATGAATTTTTTTTTGCAAAAAAATGAGATTCTGCATGCTGAGCTTATGGTTTTATAACCTTTTTTATTTACTAACAATATACAGTGAACCTTTTTCCATTTTAGTAAATATATACCCTACAACATAATTTTTAATGTTTGCAAAGTATGGATGTATGATAACTTATTTAACAAACCTTTCATTGTTGGGCATTCCAATCTTTACTATTAAAATAGCATCTTGTAGCTATATCTTTGTGCATATTCTTAATTATTTCTCCAAGACAGATTCCTTAATCTAGAAATGGCTTCATGCTTCTGATTTTGATAAATTTCCCTTACAGAAAGTTTGTACTAATTTAGACTCCAAACAACAATGTGTGAAAATGAACATTTCCCTGAACCCTAGCATTTGGGGATTATTGTTTTTATCATCTGGTTAACGTCATAAGTAGCCTATTATTGCTGTTTTAATCTGATTATAAATAAGAATATTTTCTCTTATGTTTCTTTACTATTTGATTCTTTTGTGAATTAAACTGTTAGGATTCTGTATATTTTAACACACTGGCACATAGAAATAAATATTAGCAACATCATTATCCTCCTTATAGGTAGCATCTTTGTACACTGCAAATGGTTTCCCCAAATTTGTCATTTTCTTTTCATTTAATTCAACTGTACTTTGTTAATTTAGGCTACACAGAGGTTTAAAGTTTTGATGTGAAAAAACTCATGAACCTTGATCTTTATGGTTTCTGTCTCTAGTTGCATGCTTAGAAAGACCTTTCCCACTCTAAGATTATAGATTCACCTTAGAGTATTTTTGTATTTTCATATTTTACATGTAAATCATTAATACATTTAGAATTTATTTTCATATAAGGATGGGATAGAGATCAGTGACTTCTCACAAAAGGCCAAATGGTTTTCCAACTCAACATTTTGAGTGTTTTTCAAAAGGAACAGAGCAAAGACATTTTTGAATTGAGACCTGTGAATGGCTGTATCTCTGAGTGGAAAGGAATTAATTACCACATGTCAGAAATCAGCATGGGGCCAGAGCTATTAAACATACTAATGGCTTGGATGGAAGAAGAGCTGCAAAGCAGGCTGTGAGCTTCTCCCTGTCCAGTGGTGATTTAAGTGTGTTAGTTACAGCCCAGGATGACAGTGAGGAAAGCCAGACAGTCTCCCATTTTTTATCAGGGAAGGGAGCAGCTATGGTGTCTGCAGACAGGATTGGATCTGCTTGTAATCTGGTTGCCTGCAAGGCTCCCCTGCCTCCTTGGCCCTCATTTTGAAGACTGGAAAGGGAGTAGAAGGCCTGAGAAGGGCCAGGGACTTCAAAAGCAGCCTCCCTCTGTGGCCAGGCCTGGAAAGATGACATCCAGGGTATGCTCACTTATGCCCCGGATTCCCTTCCAGCATGGCCGCGCGCTCTGGTTTTGCTCCACTGACTTCTGGCTTCTGCTTCTGCTCTCCTATATCCCCTATTCTGTAATTTTCTTCAAAGCACATATTTCATATTAAAATCATTCTTCTCTAGACTTTTCTTTTTCTGTTTGACAGTCCTATCATTGCATGCTTTTTCCACCTTTGAACTGTTTTTCATAATGTCATATTTTCTGAAATAGGACCTTGGTTTTTCTACAGGCAAGAAGCATAATGATACTACTTGACAATTACAAGTTGCTCCCACTTGTTCTAACACAAACATCTGAGTCATCCTAATAGGTAGGTAGGCAGGGTCATGTGGACAAAGTATAGATTTGAGAAGGGGGTTTGTCTGAGGGGCACAGTGAATCAGGAGCAGATCTGTTCTGGGGTCAGCTTCAGAACTGAGCCCAGCTTCAGAATTCTGCCTCTCATCCTCCCAGGCCCATTTTCTACCCAACTTGATGGCTCCTAGGAGTCCTGTGATTCAACAGAACTTACTGATTTCTCTGCCATAGCCCAGTGCTAGGGTGCCAAGATAACTGATTCATACCCAGTCTCTTAGCAGGTTCCCAACCAGAGTGGTGTTTAAGTATTTCCTGTGTACCAAATGAGAGATGGACAAGGAGGAGTGTTAACCATGGTCAGGCTGTTGGTCAGGGGAGGTTTCACAGAATATCGTATTTGGGCAGGTGGGTTGGAGCCTGTCAGACTGGATGAGCCCTGGAGTCTTTAAAGGATATCTGTTGTCCTGTTCTGCCTGTCACTCATTCCCACCCCCACCTTCCCTGCCCTCAGTGTGTGTGAGTTCATCCTCTGACCACAGATATAGGTTCAGGTCTGGGACCTACATTATTCTTTTAAAGATTTTTTATTTATTTATTTGACAGAGAGAGACACAACGAGAGAGGGAACACAAACAGGGGGAGTGGGAGAGGGAGAAGCAGACTCCCTGCCGAGCAGGGAGCCCGATGCGGGGCTCGATCCCAGGACCCTGGGATCACGACCAGAGCCGAAGGCAGACGCTTAACGACTGAGCCACTCAGGCGCCCCTGGGACCTACATTATTCTAATAATACTCAATCCTGCAGTTTTTGTTTATTCTATTGGGAAAAAAAGATGCTGGTCTTTCCACAGGGTAGCTGAGAAGCTGATGGCCATCTTGCCTCTGTGAGGAGAGAAACTGCCTGAGGAGAACCCAGACAGGAAAGCAGAGCTGAGAGAGGGAGAGGGTGAGACTGTCTTCAGGACACTGTCTGGGTTCTGAATCCAGCCACCCATGAAAGCAAATACCTTGAGTTTTTTAGCCATGTGAGCCAAGAGATTCCTTTCCTCAGGTGGGTAAATCAGTTTGAGTTGGGTTTCTATCACTTGCAACCCAAAGATTCTTAACTAACCTAGAGTCCTGTCCAAATCCAAGGCTGTGAGTCTTTGGCAGACTGGGGGGCAGGAGTGGTGTCTACACGGCCTCAGTACCTATCTCTTCTACCTTGCAGGTCCTGCTGCTCAGCGTTCATGGAATGATTAGATCCAGATTGTCCTGCTTTCAAACCTGCCGATTTTTATTCCTTGGTGATGTCAGATTCCAGACCAGCAGGACTTTCTGAGCAACTACTGGAGGATTTCTTTGCAAGTGAGTGCTCCTCCTGCAGGACTCCTACGTGAAGGTCACAGATGATGGCTAGGAAACCTCTGTTGTATGTCTTTATAGAACACTACCCCCTCCTTCTTATGGAAAATAACCCCTGCCTCACTCTAGCCATGTGGTTTGAAAGAAAGTTGCCAGAATCTTAGTGGCACAACCATGTGACCAAAGTGACTGGCCTGGAGTGGGCACCTGCCCAAGAATGGGATGAAGAAAGAAGTCTCAGATCTCCAACAGTGGAGATGTGTAGAGGCATCAGTGACCAGGTCCCTTAGACTGTGGCACAAACAGTCTGAGGAGGGAGAGAATAAAATGGCCTTACAGAGAGATCATGGCATGAAGGATGTGGAGATGGGTCAGGTGAGATCAGGCGACTCTCTACTCCCACATACGATTTGTCTTTGGGATCCTATTATATCCCCTACATACCTCTTGATTACATAAGGCTTCTAATGAATCCCCCTGCAAATAACCAAGCCAAGTTAGCTGCATTAGGGTGCCTGTCCTTTGCAACCCAAAGGGCCCTATACAGCTGCAGAACTTCCCCAGGCCAGGCCAGGCTCCATTTAGCTAACTAGCTACCCATTAGATCTGTGGTTCATAGCCCTGACTCATATTAGAATTACCTCAGGAACTTTTAAAACATAATGGAACTGTAGCCCAGTACCACAGACTCTCACTTAACAGATCTAGAGGACGGCCCAAAAACAGGTATTTTCTTAATCTCCCCAAGTGATTTTAACATTTATCTAGGCTTGTACATCACTGAAGAAATGATCAACTCATCCTACTTGCCTATGGAATGGGACATGAGGCAATAAAGGTTGTAAGGGAAAGACCATTTGGCAGTCTTGGCATCTGAAGGGCTTGGTCTAAGCCCTGTCTTGGTCACGAATCCTGTGACTGTAGGCATGTCTGTTGGCCAAGCCTCAGGAACCCCACCTATAAAATGGAATTAATAAACTGCCACTCTGTCCTCCTGACAGAGGTCTTTAGGGATCAGATGTGAAGGAACCTAGAACTCTAAGCATCCCAAACCTGCATCTCCCAGAACAGAAACTGCATGTCCACTTAACACACTCCTTACCACCATGGAGCCTTTGCAGGTTTCCTAGAGTCAGGATTGAGAAGCCTCTGGAGGGAGAGAGAGCAACTCCACCTCAGCAGAGGAAGATGGGTCTCTAACCTGTGGCTTAAACGGAGTGTCTGTGTCCTCTCTTCATTCCCACCCCATGCCTACCTCACCCTACTCTACCCTACCCCCATCGAAGTTCCTGTAGGAACACCTCAAAGATTCCTTGTCAACAGCCAGGCACCCATCAAGGCTTCTTAATGATCAAATCAGCCTTTCTAGGCCTTTTCCTAAAGGATTTTAATATCTGTCCTTGTTCTCCCCTGGATTTTTTTCCACCACTCTTTGGCTTAATAAATGCCTTTCCAGAAGGCTTCAACCCGGCTGGAAGTATACTTGAACAGCAATTCTAAGTCCTTATTAGCTCTATAGTGATCAGGTGAAGGAATAATTGATCTCAATCAGGAACACCTGGTTTCATAATTGCACAAATGATTATAATTCAATAATAAAAGTCAATTTAACGAACTTAATTCAGATTGCTTTAACCTCTCGCAGACAGTTAAGAAATGAAGAAGCAAACAGGGAGAAAAGGAAAAAGGGGGGAAAAGAAAGGAAAAAGAAAAGCAAAGGTCTGCCTCAATCACCTGACCAGATAGGGCCCAAACATAGCTGATGGATTTTACCCCCACCATAGCATGTATTGTTGCTTCCAGGCCTTTGTCCATTATGTTCTTTCTGTGTCGACTCTCCTTCCCCCATCTCTATACTTCCAAACTGTATCCATTTTTTCCAGATCAAGCTCGAATACCACCTCCTTCCCCTCTGTAAGGTTGGGGGCTTGAGGGAGACGGTGACCAAGGGAAGGAAAGTAATGTCCCTTGAGGAGCTATTGCAAGTCAGCCAGACATTTACTTCTGGATTTCATTTAGTTCTCATAGAGAGGTGGGAAACTGAGGCTCAGAAAGCTTCACACTTGGCTCACAGTTGAATGGCTGGAGAGAAAGCAGAGACAGGATTTGAACTCAGGTCTTCCTGATTTCAGAGCCTGTGCCCTTTGCTCTGCACCATGCCAACCCCCGGGGGACCCTGGACCTTCCTCCCTGGTCTCGACACTACTGTAGCCGACTTGGTTCAGAACCATGAAGAGTTTGGCCGAGAGTTTGCCCGGCCGATAAGGCTTTCTCTGCCGGCTTCCACCTGGTAGAAGTAGCTGTCCCCTTCATCTCTCCCCAGGCAGATACCAGCTCCCAGGGATCAGAGGTGGGCTTGAAGCACTCGTTTGTGAATCACTTCAACCTTGTGAATACCAGAGGCTGAGTTTCAAGGAGTTTTGGCTTGGGATCAAGGAGAATGTGTCAGGCTGAGGCCCAGAGATGGAGGAATGCCCAAAGGCTAGTCTGCTTCTGTCTGCTCTCCGAGAGGACTAGGGAGAGAGCGTGTGGTGCTTTGCTGACCTATGCCGGTGGGAAGGGGGAGAGGAAGCATGTGAGAAGCCTCAGGACCCACCTCTCTATTCAGTAAGCATTCATGGCATGCCTACCAGACCCACACTGGGCACAGGGATTCTGAGCTTACTACTGCTATTACTGTTGTTATTATTAATGAAAATAATACCACCCACTGTTTATTCAATATCAATCAGATACCTTGCTAAGGATACAGATGCATTATCCCATTTTTCTTCATAGCCCTATAATGTAGGTATTAGTATATCCCCTTTTTACAGATGGGTAAATTGAGATCAAGAGGATTTAAGTAATGTTTCCAGGGTCGCAGAACTCATTAGGGGTAGACAGGGCTTAGATTTAAACCCAGGTATCTGGCTTTAAAGCCTAGGTCTCATGGTCCTGCTACAAGCCCTGGGGAATGTGGGAATGCACGTGAATAACAACAGTCCAGTAGGAAAGTGCCAGTGAGAAAAGGTGGCAGCCAGAGCTGCCTCAGGCGGGGGGGACACTGTGTGGCTGACTATGGCAGCAGAGGGCCTTCTTCATCCCTGGGCAGCTGGCCCGTCTCTGTCTGGGCTGGCCCCTCTAAAGGCTGAGTTCTCAGAGACACCCTGTGTAGACTCTTTGATCCACTCCTCCTTGGGCTTCCTCTCCAGTTTCTGGACAAAATTGCCATTTTAGAAATGGATAGTGTTGCTTTAGGGAACCTGTCACCGTTAGCTATGAAATCTCCCCCGTCCCCGACCCTTGACTGGCAAGCTTTAAAGAAGTAATTTATATTGATTGTAGGAAAATGAGAAAATGCTGATAAGCAAGAACTCTTTAAAATTTCCTAGAAATTCTATCATCCAGAGACAACTGCTGCCAGAATTTTGCTGTTTGTTCATCCAGACGTCGTCCAATGGTCACATAAAGGATGTGTGTCAACATACTTTTCTTTTACAAATGTATAATCATACTGAAATTCTGTTTCGTCACATACCTTTTTCACGGAGGGATGTGTAGTGACTGCCGTCCCATGGGATCCTACTTGAAACAAATAGTTTCTAAACTTTTGCAAGCTTTGGAATCTGGAGCATGGCAGCTCATAGGTAACAATGTATAGGAGAGGCAAGGATTGATACAGACAAGCCGTAGTAGTTTGGGCCCTGGTTCTCCCTCCCATAGCTGGGTGGTCCCTCGGAACGTCACTGTTCTTATCCATCACGTGGGGATAGTACCCTTCCCTCCGCTGGCCTCCCAGGGTTGGGGCGAGCTATCTATGCAGTGACCGCCATGAAGTGCTGGTGTAGACTCTTCTTGTATTATCCGAATATGAGGTCTGACTCAGCCAAGAATCCCTTTTCTTTTGCACTTGTGAGTTCTGAAGTGAGAGCCCAAGGATCCCAAGTTTTCAGGCACATCCCTATGGTACCCATCAGCCCATCGTCCCTGTTGGTGATGAGGTTCTAACACTTCATTCCTCAGGGAGGAATTACACCCTGCTGGTTGACTTACCTGGGTGGTTTACTGCCCTATTTTCTAGGCTTTTGGCTACTACTGGGCTCATGTTCTAGATAGGTGGGGCATCCTTCCCAGGTTCCTCTTCATAGTGGGTCTAGCCGCAGCACCCTGAAAAGGCTCCCCGAGCTTCCTGCTGCCTTTCACAGTCTCCCTGAGGCCTACCCACTTCCTCTTCTCTCTTCTCCGGGGCCTCTTTGAGTTAGGATGCTGTCTTTACTTTGCAGCCAACACTTAGTACTTCCTCACTTTTCTGCCCCACCTTCCAGGACCAGGTCGACACTTTACACTGACAGAAGAAGTTCTGTGGTTTTCCAGGGATTCTGATGAGGACTTTCCAGGTGGGCCGCCCCTGGGCTCCATAGCAACCCCAGGTTCGACTTGCCTCTTGCTGCAGCTGAGTTTTGTCTAGGCCAAGGTGGCCGCTTGACATGCCCCCTGTGGCAGTAAGATCCCGAGTGGTACCTACCCCTCCCCCTTTCCCAGGAGCCCACCACAGCTGAGGGAACTGAGACCTGAATTCCCAACCCTTCCCTCTCCCCTCCATCCGATTCACCTGCAATCCCCTCATCCTGAAGTTTTCTTCTGTGTTCCTATCCCCCACTTGCCCGTTCTTCAGACTTACGCTTCCTCGTTCTCCAGAACTCAGCTCAGACCTCAGGGCCTTCCTCACACCACAAGGCTAGTTTAGGTGCTTTTAGCCTCAAAGCACCTAGTACTTCTAATAACCACAATAAATTCCAATTTTCTGCTAATCTGTCTCCAGGGTGTGCGTTCCTGAAGGAAGGGATTTTATCTTCTGTTCCATTATTCCCCCAGAGTCATAATAGGGGTTCAATAGATTTTCATGAATAACTGAACAAACTTAGTATATCTTAGTCCCGCTGGGACCACTTCAACCACCATTTATGCTTCTGGAGAAACTTCTTGGTAACTCAGAAATCCATCCTTCCTTTCTCCTGGAG